CCGCCTCCGCCGCCTCAGCCGCGCGCGCGCTGGCGGTGGCCTTTGCGGCGGCCGCCTCGCCCTCGAGCCTCTTGCGCTCCCACTCGTGCTGCAGGTAGGAGCGCACCGCCCGGGTCACGGCTCGTGTGGTGTGGCCGCCTGGGGTGGTCGCGGGGCAGGCGGGATGGCAAGTCGGCATCATACACCAAGATACCACAGCGGGGAACATCATGCAGATTGGGCTTGGGCGCGCACTCGAATTGGCAGCCAGAAGTGTGGCGGCAACCAGAGCACTGGGCCCGCCAGAGACGGCCCCTTTGCGAAGGGGCCGGGTCGTGGTGCCCACGGCATCCGCGGCGCACTCTGCGGCCCTGCAGCCGCCTCAAACCCACCGTCAAGGGAGTCCAGGTGCAGCACGCACGCGCGCTTCTCCACACGGGGCCCACCGCCGCCGCCACCACCGCCACTGCCGCCCCCCTCCGCCTCCTCCTCATCGCAGCTGCCCCCGCCGCCGGCCCCCCGGCGCCCCGCCAGCCCCAGGACCTCTACCCCGTCCTCCTCCAGGAAGGGCGCCGCGCCCCCCTCGCCCTCGCTGCCGCCGCCCTCGCTGCCGCCGCCGGCCCCGCTGCCGCCGCCCCCGCTGCTGCCACCGCCGCCGGACTGCTGCTGCTGCTGCTGCTGCTGCTGCTGCTGCTGTTGCTGCTGGCGGCGCGCGCGCTCCTCTAGGGCGGCGCCGATGCGGCCGGGGTAGCAGACGATTGCGAGGGACCAGTGCAGCGCGTCATGGATTGGGATGAAGAGGAAGTCGCAGGCAAAAATGTCCACTCCCTGGGGTGGGGGTCAGGGATTTTGGTGCGGTGTGGGTTATTGTTTTGGGTTCAAGATCTGTGGCATGAGGTGTGTTCGGATTGTGAATCGCGCTGTTGGGTGGGGAGCAAGGAGCATCAGGCCGGTCAAGAACCACAGCTGCAGGCGTCATTGCAAGGGGGTGAAAGGCAGATCGTGGAAGCCCGGGCTCCAAAGCCGCCCGGCAGGGGTTCCATAAAACAAGCACCGCATTAGAATCGCATATGGAGCTGGTCGCCCTGAAGGCCTCAACCCACGCCCGGGTTGCACGCAAACCCCAGGCGCATGAACACCGCAGGGTCGGCCAACACACCATTAGGCCTGAACGCACACGTGGCTCGCGTTTAAACCCAGCAGCAGCAAATCAACAAGCGAGGCCCCGGCCGTTGCTGTGACGTCACCAACACTCATGCGCCCTGCCCCAGCACCCCTCCGTCCCCGCCACCCCTCCCCCCCC